ATGTCACCCTTTTTATTAAACGCTATATCAAGTGATTAATTGCAACATATGTCAACAAAGACAGTCATAGCCATAGATGCTTCACAAAGTGAAGCAAAATGTGGTTTTGGGATTTTGTCTATTCCAGATTGGTCGTTTTTTCCTTCGCCTTGTAAATTTTGTGCCCATCTTTGTAGCAAAATTTTTAGCCATCATTCTAGCTCTGAGTAAACTAGCAGCACCAACAAGCTCAGCAATAATTTTGACAGATTCACTATAGGTACGTTCGGCCCTCACTGCAAATGAGTATTCGGACGTTTCGAATGCTTTCAAATAATTAATTCCACTGCACCCGGTGATTCAGGTTTTGCCGGCATCCAAATTTATTATAGGTGCTAGATTTAGGAGAAAAATAATGTTGGATGAATTTGCCACATGATCATTAACAACCACATTAAATTTCCAGCGTTTAAATCATCCATAGAACTTTAAAATATGTCAGTGAATAGTAATTGAAGTAGAAATCACAAAGCTACGTTGTCAGACTCTATATGTAACATTTTATCTACATAGAGCTAGTATGGCAGGTTCCCCTACTTGTTATTTTTGCGTATACCATGATATAACACCGCACTATCAGATCTGTTGTAAGAGGTATTCGAACTTGCGCAAAATTATTTTAGGTGCCAATTTATGTCTCCCTAGGTTAGATCACAACGCACAAAATGTACTGTCTTTCAGGGTTTTGTCTCTTGACCTCAGTGAAAGGAAAATTGCTGATGTACTACAGGAATTTCTTGAAGGCTCAACAAGATTTAGGGTACAAAATCTATTTCTCCAAATTTGCTCTTTCTCTTCATATTCTCGGATTCATTGCTTCAAATATATTGTGCTTTCTTCTATTCATAACTTTTATTCATTTATACTTCTGTCTTAATTAATCAAAATTTAAACTTTAATTGCGCAACCTGAAAGCTCATCGGTTCATGGTCAATCTCCCAGTGTGGGTATAAGCCACAATTTCAAGGGTCTACTCTATATTATATTAATAATATCATATTTGTTAGCAACGATAGATTTCATCTTGCCCGTAGCTCACGCCAAATGCGGCAAGCAGTCGTTACATTTATTAGCACTTGATTTTAGAAATTCACTGTCATCTCCTTTAAATTCACTAAATTCTCATATAGGTTTCCCAGACACTTGTTCTTAGATTCGTCTTCACAGGTGTAGGTTTCTTCTGGTTAGTTTTTCGTGTATGTTTTCCCGAGGTGTCTTCGTCATAGGTATCCACCGACGACGAGTGTGCTGCACACAAGCTTTTTTTATTAACGAGGCAAACTCAAGCCTCATACAAGAAACAAACCAAACCAGAGTGGCGTTGCTGCCGCACAAAATAACAGCCTACAGTTTACGCTCTGCCTGCCACACAATTAAGTCGTGCCCTGCCTGATACGATGGCGGCCCATCGGAAGTTCAAAGCTTGCCTCATTTGACCTACGTAAACGACGTAACAGCTGTCACTCGATAGTTTTAGCTGCGAAGCCCAGCACGGCGCGTTTCAGTAACTTCTTACTTTCTCGCATCCTTCTATGATTAACCTTATTTACTCATTGCATTTTCTTTGTGCTTTATTATCCGCAATACTGTTTATTCATTTTGAATGCACCCCCCCCCCCTCGTTCTTCTCTTTAACATATAGGACTATTTCTTCGCTTGTTCAAGCGAAGAAATAGTCTTCACTAAAACTGCTCACCAAGACAATTTATAACTTCGCTGAAAAACAGCTAACCAAGACACTTTAGCAATATATTTGACAACGCTGTTTTTAAGTTGGTTCTTTCTTGTATTTAATCAGCCGTTGTCATTATCAAAGGGTCCCTAAAGTCAAATAACAATTTACGTGAGAATGAAAAAGCTGAATGTATGACAAGGTCTGAAACGACAATATTATCAACAGCAGTGCCCTACTTACCGAGAAATTAGAGTAAATGCGCGGGAACACATGCACCGTAGTAGGACATTTGCGAAATGATCCCTAGGACGTCAGAGTTACAGCCTACGATTAATCACCAGTCATCGAACTAGCTGCACTAAATAAAAAACCTTCCGTGTGCATCAAGAGACGTAATAAAATACTGCTTGATAGTTTCTGTTTCATTCATGGAATAAAGAACCGTCGAACGTTACCATGGGGAATGACGCGAGTGGTTCAAAAGTTCAATTTTCTCCTGGTTAATGTGGACAGGTCGGGCCATCTAGCGAGGAGCAGTTGAACCAAAACACTCCTGCCATCTCGGAGTTAATTGCAAAAAATCGCAGTTCAATCGCAGTTGTTGCTCCCGCTTCTTTTGTTCTGTTGCTAGTGTCAGCGGCCGCGCAGTAAAGCCGGGCAACGTTGTGCAAGGCAACAATGACGTGAGTCGGTCCGCTTCTTGTGGCGGGTAATTTGAAGTGTGCTAACCCGATCTGGACTACTAAAACGTGTTTTTATTTCAAAATAAGCACTTCCTTGGCACAAACGTTTCACTACGAGGTTTCTACATCGCTATTTCAACAATCAACGTCTACTTAATGGTTGCCTTTAGTGCCCTTTCAAGTCTTCACTCTGTCATTCTGTTTGTATTATTCACCACGTTATTGCGCACGGGAGGGTTTATTCCTGATAGTATCTACTGGGCCTCTTTCCGTGCATTGCCACACACACGAGTTTCTTTTTTCAAGATCGTTGTGTTCGGTTTACGCCCACAAAGCCTGACAGCAATTCTCGCCGCAGACCACGTCTCAGTGTTCGAGGAGATCGTTTAAGATTATGCGCGGGACAGTCAAGCTTTATCAGAACTTACACGGCCACCAGCGATAACGCTGGAATTTTCGATGGCACGTACATGAAAAAAGCCGATGCACCTTACCGTTTGCCAATATTATCGACTTCCGACGCTCCACTGACCGCTATCATCGTATACAGTGTGTAATTACTGTCGTTTGAGTTTCCATTGAGTGGTCATGACCCACAATGTAGTTATTATGTATTGGTTTCTTTGTTTGACGTAAAATAGTAATTCTGATTCATCAATCCATGCATCCATTCAACGGCGTTTGGTTTAGCGCAACAACTGGGTTTGACTACGCAGAGAACACTATCACTGTTGCTGATGCCAAAGTGTCTCATTTGAGATGCTGTACTGAGTCACGAACGGGACTCGCGGAATGAACGGATTCTTCCATGCGCACACACTTTTTGGGGACAGTTGCTTTCATCATACGCAAAGGTGACAAAAAAAAAATAAACTGGGGAGGACGTTTCAGCTCCTCTATCGTAAAAGAAGTGCCAAGTGTTTTGGGAGAAACGCGGTTCCCGCTTCGTCGAAACTAATGTGGTGCTGCTTTTGCTTATGGAGTCAATGCTTGCACAAAGCATGGTTCACATCTGCAGGCGTTGCAGTGCGCAGGAAGATGCGCATGATGCCATTTATCTAAGCTATTAGCATGCTCCTTCAATCTATAATTAATGCAACGTCCCGTTGTTCCGACGTCCCGTTTTTACATATACGTATATAATCGGTAGAGTAAATGGGGGGGGGGGGGGAGAGGCGGTCAGGGTTGTTTGGATTTTATCAGAACTTTGGTAAATTTTGGGGTGCAGCGCTACGAAACACACGGACAGGGAGGGACATAGTAGTAGCCACTGCGTCTACTATGTGCCTCCCTGTCCGTGTGTTTCGTAACGCTCTACCCCCAAAATTTGGTCCTGATCTTCGTGCTCAGGCCGGGAAGGGGGGGGGGGGGGGGTCTACACTTCTTGCAAGTGTTCTCTCCACTAAAATTTCTCTTCCAGAGATAATATAGCTGAATAGCTATAGCTTGACAGTCAACTATATAGCACGTTAAACTATTTAATGCTTTTTTTTCTGTAGCGTGTACAGGCGTGCAGTAAGCCTCAGATGAAAAATTCCAGTCAATAAAATAACGAACACAGGAAACAAAGGAGGAGGCAGGAAAGCGGTCAGCCGCTTTCTTGTCTCCTTCTTGCTTTCCTGTGTTCTTTTTTTTTATTGGCTGGAACTTTTTTTTAATCTGGGGCAATGCACCAACAACGATTGTAATTAGTAACACTCAGCTTGTTGATATGAGCTATGTCATTTGGTCAGCTCAATTAAAAAATATACTTACGTGACCTGAGAACCCGTATTGTTTTTCAGTTTGATTTCAAGGCATGGTTTAATTTTTAAAAAACTGAAAATAAAACTTACAATACTAGTGAAAAGAAAGTGGCCGAATAACAAGATGTGTATCAACTGTTCTAAATTCACGCCACTGCACGTTACAATTTCGAGTCAACGCCTTCGCCAATACAGCTTCTCCTAAGTACACTTCACCATGCGCAGTGCACGCTTTACAGGAGAACGAGGATAAACATAGCCTGTGTAGTCCGATTAGAAACGCGGCAATTACGCATTTTCTTCACCGTGTAGAGGACCGGATCAAGGAAAAATTTGTGAGAATATCGAATGAAACACGACAAGGGCAAACTTTCGACATGCACAATTTAATAATTAGCGATCAAAAATGCGAAAGCAAGAGCTGTGTGCTTGTTTCGAAAGGTGGACTCGTCGAACTTCCAGAAGAATTCAAGGCAAATCCCCTTGTCGGGGCCCCTGTCGACAGATTTTTATCTCCTTTCCCACCGTTTTTAATGTTTAGCACTGGCACACAAGTGACCCGAGCCATAATGACCAACGTACGTTGTGCGACAATTAGTGTCGGCTGTTACATTTTTCTGAACCAGAGCTGAACCGGACCGAAAGTGGGGCGCGATGGACTGTAAGCCAATCGGTACTTGTAAGGCGTTTCCAATCGTATGCATTTAAAACAGCCACTTGATAAAAAAAAAAGCCTTTCAATCAGACATTCCTGTTATGACGTGGGCCGGGCTACGCGGGAGGGAGGCGGGACTCCTTGGGGTGGGCGTGGCCAGATTCAGTGCACGCAGAGCGCGGGCGTCGGGGTGACACACGAGAATGCAGGAGGACCCGAGGCCGGTCAAGTGCGAGTGGGGATGGCTGCGTCCCCACTCGACGCCTGCCACGCTGCTCTGGTACGGTCAGTGTGGAAAACCTTTTCGAGGCCCCTGTAACGCACGCAGCTCGTGTGGGAGTAGCGGAGTGGGTGCGCGCGTGAATGTGAAAGCGTCTGTTTCTTGAGTGGATGCACGTGTGAGTGTTTTTCTTGAATGTGTGACTGTGAACTTTGTGTGGCGTTTTTTTTTTTCGGTGAATGCGAGTGCGGGAGAGGGTTTTTTGAGAGATGCGCCACAATGTGCGAGTTACCAGCAACACGTTCCAATGTGCTGTCGCAGGCTGCAGCAAAACTACGAGGTGGCCGAAGGGGTGTGCATCCCGAGGAACACGTTGTACCTGCACTACGTGGACTTCTGCGCACGCAACTCCATGCAGCCGGTGAACGCCGCCAGCTTCGGAAAGGCACGTGCCGCTGGTTTATTGCCACGCTGTGAAGCGGGGTGGTCAAGGAAGTGCTGGTGACAGCGACCTCCCAGTAAAGCATAGCCACCACTGATGGCGGCTGAGGGAAGAAGGGGCATGTGTAACAAATTCTAGTCTGGGGGACAAACTGATGGTATTGAGCAATATACGCCTTATGTCCGGGGTGCCCTATCTTTGCCATGCCCCGCATTTGCTTACAAATCTTAGAACTATAAAAATTGGGTCTTTGTACACATATATCCTTTGTCGCATGTACTCGTACAGACGCTCGCAGCGTTCCCCTTCTTGGGGCGCAAAACGCAGTCAGTGTATGGAGATGAATTCCCACGCAGTGCTTATAGCAACATAACTCTTTTCATAACTTTCGTCACTTGAAATAACAGACTAAATACGGTGACTAAATGCCACAGTTTAGTTTTAAATCAATTACAGAAAGAAAATGATCTTAATCTATATATTCTGTCCCTAAAAAAGCTACGCGACATATTTAGGTGATAGTTTAAGTTGCCATAAGTTATCTACTTTTCTTTTACTTTGTCTTAACTAATACGTTTTTTTTACTTAAGCCGTGCAAAATGATTCCACGATAACCGTGTTTATTAATTATGACTGTGGGTGTTCACTCTTTTAGCTCATGTACACCATGTGTTTCTGTTTGACCTCTGTGTAGCTGCCCGATGCAGCTTTTTTGGCTGATCATCCTCGCAACCTAGCTGCAAATAGATTCCATCCAATTCAATATCCTGGTTTTCCGCAAAGTTTGCATGAAGAAGGGAATAGGTACAGGGCGTTTCATAATAAATCAGTCAAGGGAATTTTATTTTTACAGCGACAGCTCTTATGAGGTTACTTTTCGGGTCACGCGCAGTTGTTGTCCACCGCCACCAGCGGTGTCCGTAACCACATCGCGCGAAAAAAAAAAGAACTTGCACCAATGACACAGTGGGGCTTGAACCCGGGTCCACTGGGTGTCAGTCCAGCATTACACCAATGAGCTGCACCGGTGCTTGTGACTTGGCTTAGGCAGGCTTGATGTCGGAAAAGCAATCACGTTAATACGACTTATAAAGCGTTTTACAACAGCGAAAAAACAACTAGTCGTCCCACAATGTGAATAGCGTAACGCGTGGGGCTTCCAATGCTTCGAATCGTCACAAAAGCTTGTTCTTGTTCCCCTAACAACTGTAGGGCATATCCAACTCCGTCATAATTCCTCATCGTCATCAGCCACTGCATGGACAATTGGTACAAAATTTTTTTGCAAGTGTTTCGCGGTTACCACTCTTCTCAGAAGAATGACGAAGAAAAAAGGCAGCGAATGCCGGCCTACTACCTAAAAGTTTATTATTAATGCCCTAGTGGATACCCAGCAAGTGCGCTTGCAGTAGTTACTCAATGAGTGTTTTGAAAAGGCTCTAGAAGGTTGCTCTTCTAGCTTTCACTGTGACTGCGCTGCGCCTTATGAAGAGAATAAAAGTATAAGGAATATTTGGACCGATTGTCTTAAGCGGCCGGTCCAATAAATGTGCCCATAGAATGTGCAGGCCAGCTTTGAAACAGAAACGATTGTATATGTAATGCACGCATACATTTTCTCTTGCGAACGTGCAAACTTGTTAGATTTCAACTATCTCCTGATATGGTCGAGTTTCTGGGCGTCGCCGATTCGCGATATGCTTAGGGATGGGGCGGTGTATCGTCGGATAGAATATGGTCGATTGCTTTTGCGCAGATCATCCGGCAGCAGTTCCCGCAGCTGACCACTCGGCGCCTGGGGACGCGGGGCCAGTCACGGTACCACTACTACGGCATCGCGGTGCGCCTCGGCTCCCTCTACTTCGAGCCTCCGTACGCAAAGGGGTGAGTGGACTGAACACAACACGAGCGCTCACTTTAAACTGATAAATTTTTATCGGAAACCCAGGTATGGTTGGGCGAAGGTGGTTTGTCACCGGACAGCAGCAAGGACAGCAGCCTAGCTCCGCCCTGAGCCCTGCTATAGTTTACCCTGTGACACAAAACAGACGAGAGCTGTGCGCGGACGAGGCCATGTTGTGGTGACCTTGAATATTCCCAGTTACGATAAGAGCGCTGCTCAACGTTGCTTTGGAGGCCTATCAAAGGAACATTATAATATAAAAGGCTCACGATGAGACATATCTGGCTAAAGAAAAGGCGACCAATCTTAACACAAGGGTGTTGACGAATACAATAATCTAAAAAGTAAATGTCGTGAGTAGCGACTAACGGAGTTACGCTCTGTATTCTGTAGGCTTCGAAAATCCCGCGGTGCGCCCCGCGGTATCGGTCTAGAAAACGTTAATTCACAAGGCATTTTCATGCTTCCTGAGTCGCCAGCTGTCACATCGCCCGGCTCGATCTATGTAAACACTTCCGCTAGTGAAATATTTTATCATGTTCCTCGAATAAAAATTAAGGCAGCTTAGCACAAGCCTGAGGGAAGGGCGCAGCTGGTAAGTCTTTCTTGTTTCTCTTTCTTTCCTGATCTCAGTTTTTTTTTTCTCTTTTTATTTCCGGCCCTTGCACTTCTGCGCTTCCTTCCTTCAATTTTCCCACGTGGTTTCACTTGTCCGTAATAGTAATGTCCTCACTTCACATCGTCATCAAAGAGTCCGAACAACAGGAGGAGGAAGAGTCACATCAAAAAGGAAGCAGACTTCTTTCCCGCGGGAAAACGGATGGCTGTGTAGGCGGTTCTTCCAGCGTTACGCCACGCGACAACCTGCCCCCTTAAAGTGAAAGAGGAAAACTGTTTGTTCTGTTATTAGTAAAGTACGCTTTCACTACTTTAAAATCACCGGGCTCGCCACGAGTAGACACGCAAACAGAAAATGCGGGAGGTGGCGCCACCTTCAAGTCATTGCACAAATTCCGTGACTTCATAAATTTTGACGACGTCTACTAAGGCCTACGTAATAGGTGAAGATGAAGCACAATGACAAGATACTTAACGCACCCAATTTCAGGAAATTTCGTTGAGCCATTTCCGGCGACATACATCAAAAGCAATTTGAAATTCTTGACGTCCCGCACACAGATTTGTGCGCGAAATGTAAAAATGGCACTTTTCTCCTCTAATCACGAAGAGTTCTCTTTCTAGGTCAATTCATTGCTTCACTTTAGTGTCCCTTTTTCAGTTCAATCTTAGCCCTTTGTGACGCCGGAGCAGCGCTGAGCGACCGCTGCCGCGCACGCAGGGCCGACGCCGGTCACCGGCGCCAGCCGCCCCAGTGCGCGCCCAGTCGCCTGCTGCCTGAGTTCCCGCGAGTGCGCCAGCTGATGCTGCCGGCGGGCACCGACGCCGACCAGCTAGCCGGCTTCGTGGCCATGTACAGGTAAGGCTACCAACCATCCCGGATATTTCCCCGGGAAGCCCCGACTATTCACAATGTCCCTAGCAGTGACGTAGCCAGGGGTTGGCGCTCTCACCCCCCTGGCATAGAGGGCACAGAATGATAGTCGACCACATCTGCCTGCCCGGTTAGATTAAGAAGCCACCCCCGAATAAAAACTTCCGCCTGCGCCCCTCGTACGTGCCGCGGATCTGTACCGGTTGCGTCCAGTTAAAAACATTGATGCGATCGAACGCGCGCCCTGCAACGCGTGCGTGTCATACACGAAGTTCGCGCGAAGCAATGTTGCGGTGCTTGTGAGACACTTCCGCTCAACTTCCACGCGAGTACATTTTCCAGCAGGATACAGGGCTGCAAGCTGCACGTAACACTTCATGACACCCCAAGTATTACGAAACAGTGAGTTTGTCTGGAAGAAACCACACGATAAAGAAAACTCATTTAACTGGCTCAGAACAGGTTGTTCGCCTGTTTAATAAATATAGAGCATAATTAACCACCGCAAAAATAAGTACTTCCGGTTAATCATAGAAGCAAAGACCACAGCCATTGAATGGGCAAATAGTGTCAGCACACCGTCGGTTGTGAAGTCAGAGAAACAACTGATGTTCTTAAGTTGGTCAGTGAGCTTAAATTGTCACTTGGTCAAAAAAAGATAGACTAAAATTCAATTTAAAAAAAATAGCGCTTCCCCCTGTGTGTCCTTCCATTGGCCCAAGTTCACAAGCGCTACCCTTGCAAGAACGAACTCGCCCAAGAAGCGGCCCCCTTTCACTGAACCCTCCCCAGGGGCCATTGTCAGCGGCTGCTGGACGAGTGCGCCCAGGAGCCCCCCGGTGGCATGCTCCAGTGCGTGGCGCACTTCTGGCGCCGTGTGCCCGCCCACCTGGCCCCCCTGCTGGCCTCGAACTCCCTGGCCAACCTGGTGGGCATCTGCGACGGCCTGCTGTACGCCGCCGTGGCCGACGCGCTGCTTCCCACTTACCCGCCGCCCCAGCACGACAGGTGGGTCACCCGAACCACGCTTCAACCAGGCCACGAATTTGTTTCCGATGGAGGCAAAAATGCTGTAAGCCAGTGTGCTCAGATTTGCGTGCACGTTAAAGAACCCCGATGGTCGAAATTTCCGGGGCCCTCCACTACGGCGTCTTCGCCTCCGTCGAAAATGCAGCCACCGTAGCCGGCATTCATTCCGCGACCTAATGGTAATAAAGCAGCGTAATGATACAGAATGCAGTGTGGGCAGCTCTAGCGAGCACACAAGTTTTATAGTGTGGCAAACAAACAGCACTAGAATAAGGAGCATAAAGCTGAATATATATATATATATATATATATATATATATATATATATATATATATATATATATATATGGGAAAGAAGTGTATATTTAAGGGCTCGTTTTTCCTTGTTTTAAACACAATATTAATGAAATCTAACAAACAGTAATGCCAAGGAATATACAGGGAAAGTTATCAGAACCAATGGAATGTAAATAAGAATAAAGAAAACTGGATGAAAAAATAACCAGCCGTGAGCAGGAATCGAACCTACGACCTTCGAATAACGCGTTCGATGCTGAGCTACCACTGAGCTACCACAGTGGCCTTCCCTCCATCCACTTCTTTGGGTTTATCTGTGAATTTAGAAGTAGGAGTGACAGTCAGCGCCATCTATAAGCCAAGCGACGAGTGTGAAAACACTCTTATGCGCATGTTCGGAGTCACGTAGCACGTGAACTTATGAGCTGGCAGCTGATTAATAGTCGCTCGTATACAACCTAATGACACCAAGTCTGCCAGTACGAGACCCTCGTTAATGAATAAGGGAAACAAGTGTATACACAAGGGTTCGTTTTTCCGTGTTTTCACACAATAATAATGAGATCTAACAGACAATAATGCCAAGGAGTGTATAGGGGAAGTTATTAGAACGAATGTAATGTAAATAAGAAGAAAGAAAAAAGAAGGATTTCTTCACCCACTTTTCTTTCTTAGTTACATTATATTTTTTTCTAATAACTTCCCTTATACACTCCGACTGCACGCCTGATGCGTCGACAAGGTGGCCCAACATTGTAATTTGCCGGCGTCTGAAGTGACACTTCGACGAGTTTAGCTGAAGGCCAGCAGTGCGGAAGATGTCGAGAATAGCTGACAAACGCTGAATGTGGGTCTCAAATGTTGAGGAATATACAAGGACATCGTCCAGGTAACAAACACGCGTTGACCATTTGAAGCCTTGTAGCAGAGAGTCCATCATGCGCTCAAACGTGGCTGGGGCGTTGCACAGCCCAAATGCCATAACCTTGAACTGGTATAGGCCATCCGGAGCAACAAACGCAGTCTTCTCTTGGTCCTTTTCGTCGACAGCAATCTGCCAATAGCCGGAATGTAGGTCTGTTGAAGAAAAGTATCGGGCGCCGTGGAGACAATTGAGAGCGTCATCAATGCGGGGAAAGGTTAAACGACCTTTTTCGTGATTCTGGTCAGATGGCTGTATATAATCAACGCAGAAGCGCCACGTGTCGTTTATTTTTTTTAACGAGCACAACGGGGGACGCGCCTGGAAGAAGGTTCAATAATCCCTTTGGCTAGCATTTTGGTGACTTTTTGTTGAACATGTGACCGGTAATATGGGCAATCGCAGAAAACTATGGGATACGACCGCTTACGGTTCGACGCACCACGAGGGTTAGCAGCGGCACGCGAGCATTTTTGTACCACTCCGTTGAAAAAGAAAAACACATCGTGCAATGTCAATGCTTTAGAAGTTTTTGTTGTTGTTGTTGTTAACCGTGACTGCGATGATGACAGGCTACAAAAACCATGAGCGGCAAGGAAACTTTTTTATCGCACTAAAATGATCTGCAATGTTTTTATACTGCTCAGGGGTATTGCCAGTTTCGCTAGCAGATCAGTCGATACAAAAAGCAGCTTTCATTGTACGATAAGTTACTGCAGATAAAAAATCACTATTTTAAAGATCTCAGGGGATGAGGATGACTGTAGCAGTGTGCTAAGAATTCATTTCGGGATCGCTGCTTCGGCCGAGATCGTCGGTCGATCGGCGTGAAGCGCAGCGCTTATTGAGCGCATTAAGATCTTTTTTTTTTTTTTGTTCTCGCCTTCTGCGCACTATAAGATGCATGTTTTTAGTCGAAGCCACATGCTTATTTAAACGCTGATTTTGATCAAGCTACGTGGCACAGCGGCACATAAGCAATGCAATCAGACATAGACGGCGCCGAATAATATAAACACTGAGCTTGCTTAACGCACTTCTTCCTTTGAGTGCCGTCCTGGCGCACTGTTTGATCAAGATAAACGCAAGTGGACTCGTTCACCGCTTCGTGTAAACTTACTCTTGAGTGAAGCTTTTGCCCTTTTTGTCACATATATGGGTGCAAAGGCCGGCGCTCATACCGTATGGCAGGTAGATTTCGTCCGCGCATTCCCATAATATCTTTGCTAGGCGTGTCTGCGCGACAATTTATTTCTCAATATATAATATTCGCAGCAAATTCATAGGTAAGCTTTTTTTTTTTAGTGTGGAATAGACGCGTACCATGATACAATTGCTTTCGCACACTTTGGATTCAACGTTCCATACTCAAAGGCTACCTGCCGCTGTGGCTCTTTCTTTCTTCGTTTCATGGCAATCGATTCATGCGTTTGCCTTTCACGAGTTGGAGCAGCCAACGGCTGAACAACCGACCATGGTTTATCAGGACGAAGATAAATGGACGACCGCGCGCGAAAATCCCGAATAATCTGAGGCTTGCAGCGAAGCGGTTCATCGTCGTCTACTCTTCTCGAACCGGAAGCCGGTAGCAGACGGTGCACCCCGAAATCCCTCACTCTTTTACTGGTCACCTATCAGCTTACGCTCGGTGGCAGACACCCGATATGGCCGCCGATGAGTGGGATGAGAATTAACTGGTTAATGCGGTGCTTGACGAGTGAAGTCTGGCTGAGTGGACGGCTATCGATGTCGAATATGTCGCTGTATGAAGCCAGAAAACGAGCGGCCGACTTCTCAGGTTTGAGGTCCGGGGCGATCATGGAGCGTCAGTCAGGTCGCATCGAGGCACGTGGCATCCTGCGAGTGATGTGAGTGCTCGGTACATACGTCTGCCGTAAAACTGGTGACGTGGTCGTCGATTAAGGGTCTTAGCGTGGAGACCGAAATTCATTGAGGTAGTACTTGCTTTATGAAACCGAAATTGATAACAGGTAAATATGTTCGGCTAGAGGACATGGCTACGGCAGAGCGTGGAACAGTGATGTCACGCGCCAGGAGAACATCAGGAATCGGCGTCGCGATATATTCACCATCGAGCAAGGGAGACGGTGTTGCCAATTCAACGAATGTGAGAGCTTTAGGTGGTATCCCGAAGAAGTCAAGAGGCTGTTCGGGAGTTCGGGTTTAGAATCCTGAAGCTGAGAAAGTTCTAGGCAGAGAGTACCGGCGGCACAATCGATCAGGGCAGAATGCGTCAATAAGACGTCCATACCGTATATTAGGTCGTGAGGGCAATTTTACAGCACCGTAAAAAACGGGCACATGGCGGCCGGCAATGCTAACACGAGCGGTACACATTCCAGTGATGGCCACAGTTCCACCATCAGCTACACAGAGGACTTAAGTCGCTGCAGGAATGAGGACTTTTTTGAGCAGGCGACACATATGGGCACTCATTATGGACACTTGAGCTCCAGTATCAACTAACGCCGTCAAAGAAAGACCATCTACATACACCTCAATCAAGTTCGTATTAGTGGGGAACGTCAACGGAAGATTTGGATCAGTCGCAATTCATGCAGCACTACCTCCCGGAGCTGCATGACCTAGTTTTCCGTCCGAGAGCATCCATAGATGGCCTGCGATGGATAGCGGCGTGGTTGGGGCCATGGGGAACGGCGGCGTTGAGGTAATGGCGAACGAGTGGTGGAGAGGCTGCTAGGAACGTCGGAAGTAGGATGCACACGACTGGGCGAATACCGACGGGAGTCGTCGTATGAACAAGAGGAAAATGGGTTCCAGGTCCATAAATGGGAACGTTCACACCAACCTCCCTCCGTTCAATCAGACCACCCACCGCGTTGGTTTAGTTGCTAACGTACTCGGCTGCTGATCCGCAGGATAAAATTCCGGTTGAATTTTTTTTATTTCGAAAGTCTGCCGCCTAGGCATAATAATTTTTTATTAAAAATTCAAATACAAGTTTTCTTCATTTTCTATGTAGACGAAAATGGTGTAGACCCGTGTGCTCAGATTTTGGTGCACGTTAAATAACCCCAGGTGAGCGAAATTTCCGAAGCTCCCACTACGGCGTCCCTCATAATTGTATGGCGGTTTTGCCACGTCAAACCTCACATGTCTATATATCGTAAATCCAGACCTTGGGATGCCCGGCAACCACATAAGGGTGTGCGTGTTCTTTGAAACCGAAGCTAGCACTGAGTTTCTGGGGCCCGATGGTGCGATTGGAACGACTTAGAAATATGAAGTAAGTATACGGACGTACGTACCTTCGGGTCACGAAGAAAACGAATGTCGACGTCAGCTTGACGAACGACACAGTTCGTTCTTCGGTTCTCCTTCAAGAACGCTCGCAACTTTGGTCTTTTTGCCGCCACAATTCGGCACGCAGCATCGCCAAACCATCCGGATTTGCAGCTGCACAGTTTGCCTTGCGAATATCCAGTGCACAAAGCACAGCACATATCCACGTTGCAGTTCACAGAGACAGAAAAATACGGCCTTTTCGAGTCGCCAACAAGCACGACAAGAAAACGTTCGTCATGCTTGGCAATCTATGTCTGTCGAGCAAAAAGAGGCACATCTACATCTGTACAACATAGGCACATCTGTACAGCGCAACACGCCAGTCTAAACAGAGTGACGTCAGAGCTCGTGGCAGTACAAGAGTCGGCAGGCCCGCAATTATCTAGATGGCATTGCCCGTGTGCACTGACATCGCAAAGTACACGCTGATACT